GAATAAAGCTTATTCGAAAACTTTATAAAAAAACTGACTGATTGACTTTGTGAATCATAAGCGCTCATTTAGTGTTTACTAGCAGTTAGAAGATCAGTATGGAAATATACACTCTGTAGTAATTGACTGATGACTCTCAGTTAGGATAAAATGTGTATATTTTCGATGTCACATTGAAAGGCGATTGAAATTTGAACAAGCATTTTCAAGAAGCTATACACCCAGTAAACGTATTTTTTAACGAGCATTCAGAAGTCATAGTCGTACGTATTAACAACAACAGCAACCCACAAATTTTGAATAATAACATACATGTGATTGAAAGTTCACTCCATATTTGAATCATTATATTCAAAACAATATATTCAGTAATTTAAAAAGCGAACCTCAAAAATATAAGTTCTCATGGAATTTCTGAAGTTGATATTTTTCAAGTATACACTTTAAACAACCATTATTCTAATTGCTAACTGCTTTTTGTAATACCATATACTCTTCCAACATTATTTTCACGAGATAGTTTCAACCAATCGATATATTTTCACTGGATTCTTGTTGTTTCGGTATGGTTCCAAGTGTTTGGTAGTTTCCAAAGGAAGATGTTCGAACCACTGGACTGCCTAATTTTACTCAGTTGTCAAATTTTTCGAGAGTTTGTATGTCCCTTGATTAGAATGAATATGTTTGTTTCAGGAGAATACTGTTTCTGGTTACGAGCAGATATCGCATTTCAGGGCCGAGTATCAGTTAACTGCGGTGTAGTGACTAGCAAAAAATGTACTAATGCTAAAAAGATTTCAGAACTAATTCATTATATTGATAAATCAGTTTATAAATTGATAGTGGAGATTTCGCGAGTGGATTGAGGTGTAGGTAAAGGAGGTGAAACATAAGTAATAAGTAAGGTAGATTCAAGTATTGATCAGAGGAGATAGTAACGACTCGTGAATGTCAGGACATTCATCAGGCACAGCTTGTCCACGAGGGAGACCATAATCCGTATATGAATATGTGTTTATCAAGTCTCTTCTTAAAGCTGTCCACTGAGGGGGTTATGGTTACTACAGCTAAGGGAAAATTCCGAGTTTCAACCACTTCCAATGGGAAAACGTGTACAAGAACCTGAGTATTGGCTCTGTTATGCGCAATTTTTCTGGGGGAGTGATAGTGTTGTATCGTTAAAGTGCTCATATTGGGATCGTTTTGCGTGCATAATATATATGCCATGATCAGGTCACCTCCGTTTCCCACGTAATTTAGTAGTAATAATCTCAAATCTAGAGGCCTATCTTCGTAAGGTTTGTTATTCAACACTTTCGCCTATTACGCTCCTAACCTCTGCGCTCGGTCCCAGAGATTTATGTCTCTTTCAAGCAGAAGAGATGCGATGATTTTATGAACTTTAAGGAGTTAAGACTCGCTAACTCAAGTGCTTTCTATTTGACTAGATACGAAACTTTCTTTTCGCACATTAGCTTCCAAACCAAGATATGAGTGGCTCACTGAAGCCTTCACGATTATGCGTGAGTGGCGTACTGTGTCGAGGGTTTTTCCGAATTCTGAAATTTTAATGAGCACTGGTATTTTTCAGGTCAAGGAGGATGTCCAACTGTCCCATGCTATGAGAAGATTATGCGCGCATGACCTGGCATTCCGAAACTAATATTGAGCCTCATGGAGTATCTTATTCTTATCACTGTATTGCCCCTTTCGTTCGTCCAACAATCCTTCCATTACATTTGATCACGGTGGTATTATTGCGACTAGTCGGTAACAGACTATGTCATTTCTATCTCCTCTTTTGAAGATTGTAGAGAGAGAAGCTTGTTTCGATAAAGGATGTTGCGACTTCAGTTAATGCCTGAACTGTTTACGTGTCGGTGAATTGAAGGTTCATGCACATTTGTACAAGAATATGTATCGAAAAGAGTCACAATCTGAGGACATTTATGCGTTGATTGTGTCTTCCCTGCTATTGTCTCAGATCTTTGATGACATCATCTATGTCTTTCTGGTTCCCAAAATTACACAGCCATCATACGTGGTGACTTTATTAACGTGAAGTTTGTCGAAGAGGCAGCCAAAGAAATTAGAATCGCTATCACAGTTTGCCTTGTGCTTTCCTGGCAGTCACTCGTAATGACCATCTTTACTGTGATTATTGCGGATTATGGAGGACAATTCGACTGACGTTCTCTGTGATGAGATGAGGATGTCTTTGTCAAGTTATGCCTAATCTGGGTCAATTTCAAAGCGCGCCTTTGCTTGTATAATAAAATAACGTGTGCTTACACGCTGATTTTATTCAGTCACAATGATATGAATGCAAGTCATTGCACATTTATGTTGATGAAAACTTCCCACAGTACGATCGAAATAAAGTGTTTAAATTATTGAGATCTTACATCGCAATTATTTTGTCTCAAGACTGCTGTATGTGTATCAAGACCATTACTGCATATTTTAGCTGTTGCGCACCAGTAACAAATCACTCCAGGTTTAGATGCAGCTTTGCAAGATTCACTTGATTGTTGTCTGGAACAAAAGTCTGTAAAAATGACGATGTAGAAGCAGTTCAAGATATCAATCGATGTTAATCAAAGGTTTAGAATGAGTGATGAATTTTGACAAGCAAATAAAGTGTATTTCAACAGTTGTCAACAGAAGCTTTTCGAATAGTTTCTCGGTCGTCTAGTTAGTATTCGAACAACTATTCTTACGGTGAGTCGGAAGAAGCTTCAAGGTATTTGTCTTAAAATCTCTTAATGCTCACAAACAATATTACTTTTTGAATGATGTGAATATATACTGACTGAAAAAATTTGCCTCTGGACAATACAGTGAAACCGCAAGTGTTGTAAAATTCGGTCAGTTCAAGACTTTTCCACATTACTGTATGCTACTAACAATGAATGTAAATGAAACATATCGAGATGACGGGAACATTAATTGTGTTGGTTCAATGACTACAAATTATCCCACTGATAATTTTATGTTCTGAAATTTTTACCCAAATATAGAAAACAAATCCGGTCTAGCGTGTATCTGATTAGAGTATTTTCAAGCAATAAATTTTTTACTCTGACGTACTTGTCATTGGTTCAAGCTCCACCAAAGTATTACTTTGAATCCACGATCCAGGAACATGTATAGCATTATAGGGTAGTGATCCTATTAACAAGATGAAGATATTAGTGAATCAAAAGGTTTACATTTCAAAATATAATTGATAAATGCACATATATACTATCAAATTCTATATATAACGAAGAAATAAAACGCTTGACCATGTATTCGGTCAGACTCAATCATGCAACATTGTAGTTTTCTAACTACACACTAAATAATTATTTGTGGAAATGCTTTTGAGGTTTTAAAGACACTTGATCATGAGCAAAAGGGTTCATATCAAACGAATTTTAGATTCATGAGTAAAAAATTATGTAATGAGCTAGTTTGTTGCAGTTTATCGGATTGAACTATAAAATACCGATAATACATTTTTATATTTCAACTAATTTGTTTTTTCTAAAAAAGTAACTTGCTGTTAACACCGCATATATGATTATAGTGTAGTCAATATTTCTCAAGGGTACAATTTTTGTTTTCATTAAAAATTAATTATGTTATAAATTGAAATAACTAAGAAACATGAGGAATAAAGAGATACTGTTCTAATATGCTAATTGAATGACTGATCGATCGAATATTGAGTTAAAAACACAGAGAATTGTAAAAACCACGGTTACCTGGTGAACCTTCTCCACATTTGAACGAACTGTATATTTTCGAATCAAGCTCAGTCTCGTGATTTCCAGAAGCTATCTGGAAGAAAATATTAGAAATATAGTTCGAGAATTGTCAGTAGACAACTAGTCATCTTTTTTGTTTTACAGATGTCATATGTAAACAATTAGATAATCACCTTGTAATACAGCAAATATCACTCACAATAGACAGGCTTATATTTTCAGTTTCTAGACAAGTGTGATTTATTCAAATTTATTTCCAACTTATTTTATTTTCCAGCTTCATTGAATTAGGATGAAAAAATGGCTAATTTGATTTCTCATGTACGGTATCCAGTGAGCATTCAATAAAAGGATCAAACAAGACAAATATTCCTTTTTATAGAACACCATAAGATTCAAGAATTAATTCGTTATCAACCTGTTTGATAATAAATTGGGTGGTTACAGAAACATTGCATACATTTAGAACTATATATTCATTCATCAAACGAAATGTCGATCTTTTGTTCACAATAACAAATGCACTATGACGTTTCCTACAGTATTGGAATATGTGAAAGAGTAAACTCAACTAGGAAACTAAGCTAAACTGAAAGAATAACATACTAATTCAATTAATTGCACAGCTTACTTCATCATAGAATATAGTTATCTTCCCATCGACATGTATTAGACATGTTATCTTTGTCAATTCTGCAGAAAAAAAAGAATGACAATTTCAAAATGTGATATATACATTAACAGCAATAATCTTGTCTTTGAATGTGAAACTGCATACACGCCCATCAGGTAGCCAGGTTTTACTTAGACAGTCTCACTGTTATTTTTTTGAAGGTCTTACTTCAAGCTATGGCAATCAGTCACTTTGAAGTCGATTTCATATTTTCAAATGACATTCAGTGATTGATATTTATTAACCGAAATTTTATTGCACAGTCATTTTCTTTTTCTTAGAAAACATATACTGTATTGAAATAGTTTCAGATAGCAGTTGGTTAAGTAAGCATAAGTGCAAAGTATTTTTTTGAGCACTTAGCAGATAAAATCAAACATATGTTGTTAAAGTGTAAGATATTACGTCATAATGTGTAGATGAAACTGTTTATTTATCGATAAACATTGGTTAGAGATCGTTGTCCTTTTTTTCGGTAGACTCGGTTACTCACTGATCTTCATAAATTCCTTTTTTCAACATAGATCCTTAAACAATGTCTAAATTTGAATGGATAATTTTTACGAATGACTTTATAATGAGTAATTGTGTGGATAAAACGCTGTTGATATATGTGAATTGAACACAACTGGCTTATCTATGAACAGCTGATACGTCGAGTTCCATCTATTTAATTCAACGGAAATCATTTTGAACGTTCATTTTCACACAAATAAAATAAGGCTTTGATCCTGTGACAACAGAAATTTAAGTTTCCTATTTTTTTTATTTCAATGTGTGTAGATACAATGAATGAAACTGCTTGCATGATAAGAGTTTACATGGGATCAACTGATTGTTTCTAGTTCACTTACGTTTCGTACTTGAAAATGTCAGTTCCATAGCTAGCATACTCTCTGGAATTATAAAAAAATTATATATATTTATAATAACCCAACGTGAATATCTTTCCCATTCAAAATTTTCGCATTTCAACACAGAATGCATGTACACAAGAAATGGAAATTCTCTCAAATAAATGCTAGTAATCATATGAGTTGTATTTACTGATGTTCTGAGAACAACATAGATGCTTATGGTCGATCAATTGAAAATGATATTCTCACTCTTTTTATGTTATTAGTAAGACTGGAAGTCCATTTTATATTTTTGTTAATAAACGCAGTACATCAGCAACTGAAATTCAGCAACTGATAGGTCAGATTCTAACATATTTATCAGAGAGTTATCATCAGTGCATAATGTAGCTTTTTGATATTTCAAAAACCACTAACAACTCTTTAGATTCTTTTCGCCACTGTATTCACTTTGTGTTTATTCGAAATTAATTCTGTTTTACTCATAAACTTCAAAGAAATAAACACAAAAAATACATATTCATATTTCACAATAGGCAAACTACTTTGAGAATCAAGATAATTTCTCTATGTTAACCAATTTTTCTTATGCTAATAAAAGGTGATATGTGTGACATATGTGTTTGAGAAAGCAGAATTTTACCTGAATTAAGAGAACTCACCAGTACTGAAACTACGGAAATGGCTATTCTCAGGAAGAAATGTAACCGGCAAAATCAATCCGCCGCTAGTTATTTTGTTGTCAGGATCGTAAAACTGCATTCGGCCTGTGAATAATTAATGAAAACAAATGAACTGATTTATAATGTGCTATTACTTAACTTCCATGATAAATTTACTCATTGAAATCAGAATCATGTTATGTTATTAGAAAATTGAACTTAATAATTTTAGTGCACAAGAGTGCTTTTATTGACAAAAAGTAACACTTACCAAGTCTATCTATTTCAAATGAACGGTAGTGTTCACCGTAAAACGTAATCCAAAATACTGACCTGATATTCTAAACAAAAAACATTCATTCGCATTAGTACCTCAGTGAATTAATGTCAAACAACTCACTTGTGATGATTGAAATTCTTTGAAATTTCCATTTACAACTGGTCGGGGTTGTTGACGACGGATTACCTGAGTGTAATAATAGTGATCAGACTGTGTGTATGTGTAAGTTTCAGATTGATTCGTTACCTTTCTGTGTGTAAGGTTTTCAAAAGTTTTATTTTCATAATCTGGAAATGTGATGCCGGAAAATTGTGTACACTTGTCTAGAGATTCCAAGAAATCGGGAAGTAAAACACTCAACAAACAAAATCGAATCAATAATCCAGATGTAACTGTGTTTCTGAAATAATGAAAAAATGAAAATAACATTGTTGTTTCAGTTGTATTAAGCGTTTATTCACATCAAAACGTCTAGTCGATACTTACCTCATATTCAAACAAGACAAAGTTAATGATTTTCAACCATCAAGTTTATATACATTTTTTTCATTGTGATTGATGTTGTCTGATTAGATGATAAAAAACCGTCCAATGAGAAAACGAAATCTGAAAACAACATATGTTCATTGTTGAATAATCATCGTAGTAGATCAACACATTCTTTGATAATATTCTAGTTCTTCCAGTTCTTCCAGAGAACATGTATCGGTCATTGAAACATTGATTAATTGGTATCGATCACCTTGTCCATTTGACTATATTTACAATTTGAAAAATAAAACTAAGGATGTAAAATCTATTTCTAAATAGAATGGAAATGCGAAATATATTATATATTTTAGTATTTCCATTACATTCAGTGAAATTGACTGTGTGTTCAACACGTTGGTCTCACCATAACATTCAAAGCGAAGAGATAGAATAATAATAATAATAATAATAATAATAATAATAATAATCATACAAAGGTTTTCGAAATAAAACTATATCTGATACGATTCCAGATTCATCATTTTGTAACAATTTATTAACTGTGTTCGCAAATCAGAGTCACGTGTATGATCCATTGATAAAAAACAAGTCAAAAAGGGCTGACAAATCGAGAGAAAAGAAATAAAACGACAATCAACTATGGCCACTCTTGAAAGAGGCTGATAGACTCAAAGAATTCAAGGTACCTATCAGTTACAAAAAACGGATATTTCAAGGCTTAGTTTGTTAAGCGAAACCACAATGAGAATCGAAACGAAATGGTTCGAAAAAGGAATATTTTTAGCAAATCCTTAGGTTGTGAGCCATCGAAATGTCCATAAAAAGGAAACAGAAATCTGCTGGTCTATAGGAGATACAAGCGATGAGGAACAACGAGACAGTAAAAAAATAAAACTAGATTGAAGATAGATCACATAAAGAGTAAATAAAATTTACTATGGCAATAAAGCAAGTAGTTTGAATAAATAGATCGTAAACCAGAGCGATCATTGATTAATAATCGAGGTTGAAAACAGAGCTCTGTGAATGAAACGTTCTATTATTAATCAAAAAAAGATAAATAGACAATTATTTCATGTCTCATATTTTCGTATTTACCAAATGTAATCTGTAGCACTGGTAGAAATACATTCAGTTTGAAGGGAAATAATCTGTACAAGAAACTCACAACATAATCAAGTCACTGTTGTTTTGATCCGTTAATACATGTGATGCACAGAGAAAATCACCGTATGCCTGGGACTTGCGACTGATAGCTATCATTAGTCCGTGTGTTGTCCTCAGCAACCTATTGCTGCTCTTCCAGATGTCAAGAGTTTTCTGAGTTCCCGAGGTGAACTTGTTCGCTTCAGTACTCTGATCTACAAACATAACAAGTAAGGTAGTAAGGTGATGAACGGTAAATCATACGGTATGCTTTGTGTTTTCAAGTTTGTTTCCTGTTTGTCTCTTCTCTTTACTGATGCTGCTTTGAAATATCTGTTGGATGCACTCAGTCTCACTGAATGTTCATGAGAAATGGAACTGATGAGGATTTTGCACTTTTCTTTGTTGATAAGTCGAGATGTTTCACCACTTGGTACATATAGTCTGCTAAACCATGCAAACCATGCAGGCAATGAATGTTTCCAACACCAATCAATATTTGTCAAAAATACCTGTGCAGAATAGTTTATATAATCTGCTCAAAAAATTGGAAAGCAATCGGTCCATCTACGACGACTTCTTGCCAACAGTAAAGAAATGATTGTATCGGAGTATGTTCTCTTATTGTTGATTTTTATTATTTAGTCAGCAAAGAATAATCTCCGCCAAAATATATATACAAGAACCGAATGGGTGCTGGCAATGCTTCTTATCTGGTATGAATACAAAAATGAAGTGAGTATTCGGCGGAAACTTTGAAGTGAACGATCTCAAACTGTAGTTATCCAAATTATCAACTGAAGTAACAATGCAATTTTCATTTTGAATATTTCAAACCTAGGAATAAGGTAAATATAAAACTTGAAAATTGTTCACACTGTGACTTTACAGTAAGATATTGACACACATAGACAATGCGAACGCTATTATTAGACACTGGTTATGCGTCGACACCACCGTCTGATGACACATCCGTTTGCAGTCGCAAAACAATGTTCACCAAGTAAAAATTGAATTTTCTTCACCTGCAGATGAGCTTTGACACCACGATACTAGACTGATAGAATTATTAAAGAACATATTAAAGGCTTTTTTGTACATCTGAGTCTGTTCGGCTTCCTCTTAAGATGACACCATCCTAATGACACTTGGCCTTACACTTCCTGTACTGATGTTGCCTGGATGGGCACTTTCACACATGGTGCCATGCACCACAGTGTCAGCAAGTAGCGGATGTCTTATGTCTTATGTATTTCGGACTGAGCTGAAGTGGGATGGACTGAGTGTATCATATATACTTTGGTTAGGTGTCTGCAGTACCACATGCACTACAGTCAGACTAGACACAGCACTTTGAACCGTGAGCAGGTTTTGTTAAAAATTAATGAAGCGTACAAACTGACTGCCAACGTCTTTAATGGTAAGTTTAGGATCCTGATGCAATCGACACTATGTCACTGATTTTTCGGAGAATTGAGGCTGTGAATGAGGATGAATGCTGAAACTATTATTCAGTTGAAGACTTCAACCGGAAGCTTTCGTCTTCACGGCTGACGATGCCCGCATGCGCAAGAAAATCATCGTCATCAAACAACGATGACGAGTATTGAACAGTGACGAGCTGTCGCTAAACTTTCGGTTTAATGACTGGACTGTGAAGGAGAAAGATCGGTCACGTGGGTTAAAAGGCAGGATCAAACTACTGAACTTTTATTGCTCACTTGCATCCAGTATTCGAAGTGGCAGTCAAACATTCCAAGCATCAGTTTTATTTGCTAAAACAAATTAAAACAGATCTTCATTAGGACAGAACTATGTTTCAAACGGAAGCTCAACAATACTATTTGCGAGGCAGTCTATCGAAGGTGCTGTGTTCAAACTGGTCATGCGTGTATGTGAGAGAGGCAAAATCTTAGTCTCTGTCAAGTGCATTAATTTCAGCTGCTGCTCAAGTGATTATTCACGTCTAGGATGCTTATTACTCTGAAAATTACCGTCGGTGACGTGTATCTACCTCCATAATCGCAATCAGCGTCAATCATTTAGTGAGACGATAGGGTTATCTAGTAGAACTGATTAAAAAATGGAACAAGATAGAATAGGCAAGAAAAAGAGTAAGCAAAATATACCGAAGGCAAACTGAAAATAATATAACTCGAAAATATCGACTCCAGATTAATAATGAATAAAAAAATACATAAATGATTCGATTATTCATAAGCATTTTCGTTCATGAAATCCAGAGAAAATGAAAGACCTCAAAATCATATACATTATTAAACAGTGCTCAATCATAATTTTCGTAATTTCGCACATGACGAATTGCAAGGGAACATGAATATTGTGTTGTTGTCCGCTGTTTGAACATTCCATCCACGGAATAGAAGTTGTCATGCAATCTGAAAGGTATCCAGTCGCAGTTGTTAGATGAAAATAGTTTTTTATCGTCATCTGTTTGTCAACAAAAATATAACTTACTCGCATTAGGTATTCAAGAAAATCATCATCCGAGATTTACTGCAACGTTCAATCAACTCAGTCGCTTGAGTTCGGATAGAAAACGAGTTCACCACGCAGGCGCTTAGAACTCATGGATGCAACACGCTTTGCACAAAATAAAGATCCATTTACCGTGGCATGAATAAGAAGACCGACAGTATCAGTTGATCGGAATGGACATCACGTTTCATTGTCGATGAATGAAGTTCACTCTCGGTTTTTCAAACAGATATTGCTGCCGTGAAGAAGAACGCAACGTGTTTGCAACTAACAGAAATAGTTGAGTACATTGAAGGAAAAGAATCATGGGAAACGAATCAAGCTTTTATCGATCGGTTATTCCGAATGTGGATTGGAGTGTCTTGAAAACTACTGCTTTGCCCATGCAAAGTTGTCTCGTTTCTGCTCCGCCCGCAGCTTTCCCTGCTGTCATTGACAAAACCTTCATATATTTCCGATTGTGTG